AAAATGACTGATATATTTTCAAATTCATGATAAACAGACTTAATAGTGTGAGCAGTATTACCTACCTAAAATCTACCTGTACCTGTATACATAGAAATATTATAATAGAGATTAGTATATCTGAAACAGACTATAACTGAGGTTCACTCAGGTTGTAAAGATTGAAATGTTGGCCAGGTGATACTGGGTATTTTTCAAATGTTGGCTAGGTGAGAAGCAACCATGATTACAACATTACAAACACAAGTCTTTAATATTGATAGATTAATTTCCGAATATCAGAAATAATAAATATAAAAAACACATATCAAATCTTCTTTGAAAATTATTTTGAATCCATGTATAACTGATTTTGAGTTTATTTTGAATCCATGTATAACTGTTTTTGAGCCTATGTAGAAAATCAATTACATTGTAAACATAGATTAAAAAATCTGGTAAACATGGATTCTGGACTATTTTCTAAGCGAGATGATATAGGTTGTATTTGTCGGTGTACTTTAAATAGTCATACAACAGAAAATGTTTGTCACCAAAAACATTGACAAAGAGAGAAATTCTCTTTATCTCAATGGAGGTAATGTTTTGCAGCCTCTGAAGTAATTTTAAACATATGTTACAATTACACAAGTGTCACCTATTTGGTGAATAATATTCTATGAGCCCCTTAGGGTGTTCTTTGTGACTGCTCTGTTTTGGGAGACATTTTGATAATTTTGTTGTTATTTTTGTATTCAGGGAGACACTTTGGACGATGTACCCCAGGCTGTTATAGATGACTGTGCTCAACTGGTGAAAGCTAACAGTATCACAGGTAAAATATACAGGAGGGGTGAAAGCTAACAGTATCACAGGTAAAATATACAGAAAGGGTGAAAGCTAACAGTATCACAGGTAAAATATACAGAGGAGTGAAAGCTAACAGTATCACAGGTAAAATATACAGGAGGGGTGAAAGCTAACAGTATCACAGGTAAAATATACAGAAGGGGTGAAAGCTAACAGTATCACGGGTAAAATATACAGAAGGGGTAAAAGCTAAGAGTATCACGGGTAAAATATACAGAAAGGGTGAAAGCCAACAGTATCACAGGTAAAATATACAGGAGGGGTGAAAGCTAACAGTATCACAGGTAAAATATACAGAAGGGGTAAAAGCTAAGAGTATCACAGGTAAAATATACAGGAGGGGTGAAAGCTAACAGTATCACAGGTAAAATATACAGGAGGGGTTAAAGCTAACAGTATCACAGGTAAAATATACAGAAGGGGTAAAAGCTAAGAGAATCACAGGTAAAATATACAGGAGGGGTGAAAGCTAACAGTATCACAGGTAAAATATACAGAAGGGGTGAAAGCTAACAGTATCACGGTAAAATATACAGGAGGGGTGAAACCTAAAAGTATCACAGGTAAAATATACAGGAGGGGTGAAAGCTAACAATATCACGGTAAAATATACAGGAGGGGTGAAAGCTAACAGTATCACAGGTAAAATATACAGAGGAGTGAAAGCTAACAGTATCACAGGTAAAATATACAGGAGGAGTGAAAGCTAACAGTATCACAGGTAAAATATACAGGAGGGGTGAAAGCCAACAGTATCACGGTAAAATATACAGGAAGGGTGAAAGCTAACAGTATCACAGGTAAAATATACAGGAGGGGTGAAAGCTGACAGTATCACAGGTAAAATATACAGGAGGGGTGAAAGCTGACAGTATCACAGGTAAAATATACAGGAGGGGTGAAACCTAACAGTATCACAGGTAAAATATACAGGAGGGGTGAAAGCCAACAGCATCACAGGTAAAATATACAGGAGGGGTGAAACCTAACAGTATCACAGGTAAAATATACAGGAGGGGTGAAAGCTGACAGTATTACGGTAAAATATACAGGAGGGGTGAAAGCCAACAGTATCACGGTAAAATATACAGGAGGGGTGAAAGCCAACAGTATCACAGGTAAAATATACAGAAGGGGTGAAAGCTAACAATATCACAGGTAAAATATACAGGAGGGGTGAAAGCTAACAGTATCACAGGTAAAATATACAGGAGGGTGAAACCTAACAGTATCACGGTAAAATATACAGAAGGGGTGAAAGCCAACCATATCACAGGTAAAATATACAGAAGGGGTGAAAGCTAACAGTATCACGGTAGAATATACAGGAGGGGTGAAAGCCAAGTGTCACAGGTAAAATATACAGGAGGGGTGAAAGCTAACAGTGTCACAGATTTTTTATCTCACATTTTGTATGTTGGGTATTAGAGGCAAAACTTTTCTTGTATCTGTACCTCTATTTGTTCTCCCACTTTTACCTGTTCATGATTTCTCTTCTCTCTAGGATATATTTCTTTGTCATCCTCTTATGTATGATTTCTTGTCACCCTGACCCACCCGCTCTAGAGTATGATTAATTGACTCTATAGGTTGTCAAACACTCGGGTTAGACAACCAAAAACATCACCCCTCAGGTTGGAGATTTCTCTGTTACACCCTCAAGGTAGGGGATGATTATTTTTCTCCCATCCTATTTTTTCAGTCACCACTCCACCGACAGTAGTCTGTTTGTAAACAAAAACACATACCGGGTATAGGGTATGAATATCATCATTCATTATCACCCCATAATGTATTATTTCTCTAGATCTATCACCCCTTAATGTATGATTTCTCTAGATCTATCCCCCCTTAATGTATTATTTCCTGTCACCCCTTAATGTATGATTTCTCTGTCATCCCTTATTGTATAATTTCTGTCACCCCAAAAGAATGACAGATATAATCATCCCGTACAATGAGGTATGGCAAAGAAATCTCAACATTTGATGTGAAAATCTTGAAGTAGACAGTCAAATATATTATCACCCTTCTGGTTAACATTTCACTGTAATGCCCCTGTTTTAGGGGAAGATTAGTCATCATGTCTTTATGGTCTGCTCAATGGTGACCAAATCTTTTGTTTTAGGTCAGAATATCTTAATACTTCATGTTACTGTTATTTAGGTAAGTCCGATATGTTTTCAGCATATAGAGCCAAATTAATGTTCAAAGGTCAACAGATTTTTATCAGCTTTTACTATTTATATTTGTTACTAGGCCATAATTTAGAAGAAACTGATTGGTATATTAATAGACCGTGTTTTGTTTCAGGGAACAAGATGAACAATGTCGACGTAGTGTACACAATGTGGGCCAATCTTAAAAAGACCGGCTCCATGGACGTCGGACAAGTGGGGTTCTTCAAGGAAAAAGAGGTTGTTGCTTCATTACATACATTGATCTTAGCTTTTATTGCTATAAGCAGAATCAGATGGATAAGATGAAAAAATATTTTTTTAAATTTAAGTTAATTTGTCAAATAACATAACGGAAAATAATAACTAGAAATACAAAGACAGGTAGAGCCTGGGGTTGCCACACACACACCAATACCACCTCCAGGTGTTAACCCAGGGGTGTACAGACTGTGCCCGCACACATCTTCATCTCTTGAAAACTGAAAATTTTGTTATTGCTAAAATATTACCAGATAAAGCATATAACTCTTTAAAGACAATGATTTAGTTATGTGATTGATGAAGAGCATGGATCTTAAGGTAGTTAAAATAGTATTTTTATTCAAATTACAAAGTTGTCTCCCTGTAACCTCCTATTTGTCAATTTAGGTGAGGAAGGTCCGAGTAGAAAAAAGAATAAATGAGATTGTGAACCGTCTGAATAAAACAAAGGAAGAGAAATTCTCTGATTTACGGGAAGTACGAGAACAGCGGGATAGAGAGGAGAGAGAGGCTGCTAAGATCAATATGCAGGAGCAAAAAAGGAAAGAAAGGGAAGACGAGGAGAGAAGAAAAAAGGAATCTGAACTTAGGTGAATTCTTGTGTAAATCAAAATTACTGTAAATTAAAATTCTTGTGTAAATTCAAAGTTGATACACAAGTTTTATTTAGAAGACAGATAAATGTGTCGTTGTTAGGAATTGTATATGTAACTGTTGTTAGGAATTGTATACACTTCTGTCTAAATATCTCTATTCTTTAATAATGAAGGTATTACTGGAGAGTTGTAAAGTGTTGTTACTTAAATTTTCCTCCATTTTTGAGGAGCATGCTGCTGGGTAAGAGATTAATGATCAACACTAGCACTATTGAAGTTGAATACATTGACTAGTGACACAAACAGGATTAGTATTTCTGTGTACTGTTGATGTAGAGTAAGATTATCATGGCTGCATATACTCTTATGCATGTATATATTTTAGTTTTCTTGCCTTAATTATTTCTTTTGTTGGCTTCAGGTCATATGATTCTCTGATGAAGTCAGATAAAATGACATCAAATCAGGTATGTTATCTCTTAGGAATTTATTTCCCAAAACATTTTAATTGTTGGTCTTAAATGTGCGTTTGTATTGTTGTTATATAAGTCTTGTTTCAATTGTATATACGTGAAATGTTCATTTGCAGCAGATATACTTGCTGTTGTCTCTAGTGGTGGGGTTGTATGACCCTGGAAGGATTAACTTGTTAACTGGAGGTTCACAGTCATGTAAAGTCCAAATAAAATTGAATTATTTCATTGTTAGATTACCATAAAAGTACACTGTAAAACCATAAGAAAGAAAAGTAGCGTGTGTTATATCTGTGATCCAGTACTGAGAATTACAAGACAGATTTATGTGTGTGATCGTGTGGTTAAGTCATATCATAGTTTATCCAGGTCTTCTGCAGGACGATGGTAATGACTCGGCCATTATATCTGTGATCCAGTACTGAGAATTACAAGATAGATTTATGTGTGTTATCGTGTGGTTAAGTCATATCATAGTTTATTATGGTCTTCTGCAGGACGATGGTAATGACTCGGCCATTATATCTGTGATCCAGTACTGAGAATTACAAGATAGATTTATGTGTGTTATCGTGTGGTTAAGTCATATCATAGTTTATTCTGGTCTTCTGCAGGACGATGGTAATGACTCGGACGACTTCATGTGATCCTGCCAAGCCAACAGATTCCACAGTCTTTCACAGTCAGCTATACAAGTGAACACTGCGTCTTCTGCAAGCCTGTCTCAACGAGGTGTTCAGACATGTCTCCTTGTTACTTCAGTGTCATTCCATTTCAAAAACCACTGGTGTGCTGTAGACAGGGCAGGAAGTGGTGTTTGTGGGGAGTACACAAGCTGTGCTGTGGTAGGACAGGAAGTGGTGTTTGTGGGGAGTACACAAGCTGTGCTGTGGTAGGACAGGAAGTGTTGTTAGTGGGATGAACACTGGGAGGATGTTTCTCTGGCATTGGCCGTTAATTATTTATCTCTCAAAATACTAATAATGTTGTGAACGTTAAATTTAAGAAATCTCATTTAAAACTTCAGTATATAAAGAATTCCTCTTATAAGAATGTTATCAAGAGGTGAAAGCTTGAAGATAAGAATGCTTGAATAGGTGTAGCAAATACTTATGAAGCCAGCAGCAAAGGGACATTTTCATTCTTACAATAATAACACAGGCAATTCTCGAAAAAACCCAGAGACCCTGATCACTGTATTTTGATTGCTATAACTATATATAGATGTACTTTTAAAAAGTATTGCTATTTCTTTTAAATGCGAGTTTAAGTATTTATTCTCTCTGGACTTAAGTTAAATGTAGTACGGGGTACTATGTATATCATGTCACAGTAACAATGTTAGAAATTCAAGAAAAAATAGCCCCACATTGTATGGTTTGATTGGATATTAACACATGTATTATTTTCTTATGGAAAAAAACTTACCAGTTCAAATTATCATACTTTTTTTCCAGAACTTTGTGATTCCTTGTTTGGAATCTCCCTTTGCAACTGTCCTCAAGATTCCAGGGGTTACGCTCACTTTCCCTCTCGGCACCGGGCCGACCTGGAATATGTCATGACAAAATTGAAAGCTCAGTCTGATCCTATGATGTACATCAGAAGAATCTGTTGATCGCGTAACGGTAAAAGTGACTGGCTTTAAAGTCGGGTGTCACTCTTCTGTAATCTTCAAAGGCCATGTTTCAGCCGCTAGATTGGTCAGGGTTTTTTTTATGTGAGACCAATCAAATATATGCAGCTAGCTGTGTGCCTTCAATTTTGATATGAAATATTCCAGAGGTACAGAGAGCGAAAGTTAGCTTAACCCCTGGAGTATCAAGGATGCTTTGCAACATGCACATGTATGTTAATCATCTGCCCACTCTATTTAATGGATGAAAAAAATCCCCTTGGTTATTAGCTAAACAGAATAACTAGAAATGTGGTTAAAATGTAGAAATTCAACAATTGTTTTCTCTCGAGACTTATCCCTATATTTATCCCTATCTAAAGTGGTATTAAATTCTTTGCACATACAATGTACCATCAATTTTCAAAGGACACAATCAGTAAAGGAAGGTAATTCAGTTTTTAAACGATTTCACTTTCCTCTCATGGCACGTGTGTGTAATATAATTATTTAGTTTCTCTGATTCTATTAATTATAATTATTCAAAATTGATTTGGAACATTAAATGGCTTTTTTTTCTTTTTGTTAACACAAGGGCATGGCCCTTGCTGACCTGTCGGTTTTCTTTTTAATTTTTGTTTTCTTACATCCACGTCTTGCTTATGATGAGTGAAGTGTGCTCATTACAGTGCGAGATACGTGTGTTTTAATAGGACTGTTTGATTGAGGAATAGTAATGGAACATCTTCAGTGTGTGGATCATCGTTCAAAAATGATATCAAACTGTGTTGTAATTGTAAATACCTGTACTAAGTTTAAAATGGGTTAATGTGACTTGTGTATGATATATACTGTATGCAACAAAAAATTATGTGTGTATCAATGTGAGTCTTGTATTGTACGGGAGGTACGGTAGTCTAGTGGTAGGACGCCGGGCTCGTGACCGAAGGGTTGCGGGTTCGAGTCACAGCACGACACTGTGCTGTATCTTTGAGCAAGATACTTTACTCCACTTGTTCCAGTCTACTCAGCTGTAAATGAGAATGTGGTTGGGCAGTGCTAGAATTGTAGAATGCTAGCTGTGAAAGATATTGGCTGGTTGCAAAGGCCCTATAACCACGGATAATAATTTGTGAACCACTTTGAGATGGCCTACGACCTAGGTTGTGATAAAGCGGTATATAAGAACCTCAAATTATTATTATTATTATTGTCAAATGATTTGTTATTTAATTTGATGATGTCTGAAACCTAAAGACCTGTTAACAGCTAGGAAACAAAATTTGAATACGTCATTGGACAAGGTAAAATGGGGTAAAGTGAAATTCACATAAACAATGCAGAACATGAGTACATTTAATACATCTATATTAGGGGTATTAATTAGTAGACCATTTAATTACATTGTTCCAATATTAATAAGTCCTGGTTTCCTTGGTTGTGAATACACATCAGGTGATATTCTAGCAACTTGCTTTGGAACATATCATATATACATAAATTGTGTATGCATTTGTTCCTTAATTCAATGAAACTGACGAGTAACTTTTCATTGGAATACTTTCCATATGGTCAGGGATTTAGGAGGTATAAGTTCAGCTGTGACTGACAGTTCTACTTAAAATCAAGACATATTGGTTTGGTGAAATATTTTGCATTATCTCTATAATGAAATGAGAATTTTCACTTAACATTAATATTCAGATCCAGATTAAAGAAAGTTTTCTGGGATCTTTGTATTAATGTTTCATTTAAATGAAAATGAAATTATCAGAGTTACTTAATGATTAATTTGGACATGTTGTACATGTGAAAATGTGATATTTTAACACTTCAGCTCGAAAATCTCTTATAATGAAAGAATTACAACAAACAGGCTGATATACAGACCAACATAGACAAATAAAAGAAATTTTATTTCATGCAAAATAAATCTCAAGAAGCAGTTTGTTTTGTCACTAGTTTTCTCTCACAGTAGCTGTTTTTTGTCCATTGAATGAAATTTTACGTCAAACGTCCATTAAAGAAACAATTTTAGCTCACCGGGTCCGAAGGACCAAGGTGAGCTTATGCCATACCGCGGCGTCCGTCGGTCGTCCGTCCGTCGTCTGTCCGTCAACAATTTCTTTAAATGACTTCTTCTTCTTAACCACTGATTGGAATTTAACTAAATTTGACTGGAAGCATCCCTAGGAGATGGGGATTCAAAATTATACAAATGGTGGGTCTAACCCCCCAGGGGGCTGAGGGTCGGGTCCAAAAGGGGGCAATTTGGCTATATTGCTTTAGGCGACTTCTTATCTGGAACTCAGAGATGGATATTAACCATATGTGACTGGAAGCATCCCTAGGTGGTGGGGATTCAAAATTGTATAAATGGTGGGGCTGAGGGGCGGGGCCAAAAGGGGGCAATTTGGCTATATTGCTTTAGGCGACTTCTTATCTGGAACTCAGAGATGGATATCAACCATATTTGACTGGAAGCATCCCTAGGTGGTGGAGATTCAAAATTGTACAAATTTTGGGGATGACCTCCTGGGCTAAGGGGTGGGGCCAAAATAAGTTTATCACTTGGAAATGGTTGAGATCCCCATATATACCACTGCTTAGTATGAAGAGAAGAATGCACAGTTGCTTCCAGGATGGCCCTAGGGTCTGGCCCCACCCTTGGAGACATAGTCCCTGGGTCATAACTTTGAAATGGTTGAGATCCCCTCCCAAAAACTATATATACAAATACTGGGCATAAAGAGACGAATGCAGTCATGATAATAGAATAGACCCTGGGGTCTGACTGAACCCCTAGGGACCTAGATTCTTAGTCACAGCTTGGAAACAGTTGAGATCCCCACCCTATAACCATATATACAATTGCTAAGTATAAAGAAATGAATGCACATATGCTTCCAGGATGGCCTTGGGGTCTGCCCCACCCTTGGAGACTTAACCCTGGGTCATAGCTTCGAAATGGTTAAGATCCCCACCCCAAAACTATATATACAATTGTTGGGCATAAAGAGACGAATGCAGTCATGATATTAGAATTGATCCCAGGGTCTGCCCCACCTTTGCAGACTTGACCCCTGGGTCATAACTTAGAAACAGTTTCGATCCCCACCCCAAAACTATAAATACAAATGCTTGGCAAAAAGAGACGAATGCAGTCATGATATTAGAATTGATCCTGGATTGGCCTTGGGGTCTGGCATATTCCCTTGGATCTCATTTGGAGAATATTTTGCCATGATTGCTTAGATATCCAGGTGAGCGATACAGGCCCTCTGGGCCTCTTGTTAGGTTTCCTGACCATAGGTCATGGTAACCTATTGTGAAAGCCTTTTGTCCGTCGTGCGTTAGCTTTTCCTTGTGAACACGATAACTTGAGTAAATGTTAACCGAGTTTGATGGAAGTTTGTATGCAGCCATATATCAATAAGATCTCGGGCGAGTTCGAACTGGGAATTATTTGACAGTAACTTACAGAGTAATGGCCCTTTGTAATATTATTATTATTAGACCTTGTGAACATGATAACTTGAGTAAATGTTAACCGAGTTTGATGAAACTTTGTATGCAGCCATATGTCAATAAGATCTTGGATGAGCTCGAAACTTAGAATTATTCAACAGTAACTTACAGAGTTATTGCCCTTTGTAATACTATTATTATTGGACCTTGTGAACACGATAACTTGAGTAAATGTTAACTGAGTTTGATGAAACTTTGTATGCAGCCATATATCAATAAGATCCCGGACTCTTAATGGGAATTATTCGACAGTACCTTACAGAGTTATTGCCCTTTGTAATAATATTATTATTGGACCTTGTGAACATGATAACTTAAGTAATTATCAATCAAGTTTTAATGAAACTTTCTATGCAGCCTTATATTAATAAGTTCTCGGATGAGCTCGAAACTTGGAATTATTCGACAGTAACTTACAGAGTTATTGCCCTTTGTAATACTATTATTATTGGACCTTGTGAACACAATAACTTGAGTAAATGTTAACTGAGTTTGATGAAACTTTGTATGCAGCCATATATCAATAAGATCTTAGATGAGCTCGAAACTGGGAATTATTTGACAGTAGCTTACAGAGTTATTGCCCTTTGTAATAATATTATTATTGGACCTTGTAAACACGATAACTTGAATAAATGTTGACGGAGTTCAATGAAACTTTGTCTGGTAACTATTTGACGGTAACCTGCAGAGTTATTGCCCTTTGTCATTATATTATTATTTGTCCCTGTGATGTTGATTGACATTACACAAGAATAGATGTAAATTCATGTGGTACATTTTTTTTTTCATTCATGACGCATTTTTGCTACTAACAAGGTGCTATTAAAATTTTGTGCTTTATTTAATAAATCATTGATTTACGCTTTCACTTGTTTCTTTAAACCAAGAACAGGAGACATACAGTTACCAAGTTTGTTCATAACAGACCCCTTGGGTCACACCCATTTATTTCAGTTTCAGTTATTTCGTGTTCACAGGGTCCAACAATAGTAGAATTACCAAGGGGAATAACTATGTAAGTTATGGTCAAATTGGTCCGGTATTCAAACTAATCCAAGATCTCATTGATACAAAGCTGCATACAAAGTTTCATTAAAATCGGTTCATATTTACTGAAGTTATTGAGTTCACAATTGGGCCTGCATCGCTCACCTGGTATAAATCTCCTTAAACCTTAAAAGTGATCTAAAATAAAGCTACAGGCAAAATATCAGTATAATGACTCTTAGTCATTCAAAAGAATCTGTTAAAAGATTTTAAAAACATTTGACTCCTGTGACCTTGAAGTCGAACACAGTCATTTTGTTGAACAAACTTTATAGCCCTTTATCTCGGCTTGCAACTTGCCAAAAATCACCACCCTAAACCTTTTGTTTATTGAGATTAGGTCATTTAAAGGTTTATACATATTAGACCAAATGTGACCTTGAAAGATTTTAACATATTTGACCCCTGTGACATTGAATATGACTGAAGGTCATTCATTTGAACAAACTTTGTAGCCCTTCATCCTAGCGTGCTATTGGCCAAATATCATTACCCTGGGCAATTTGGTTATTCAGAAAAAGCTGTTAAAAGTTTTAACATATTTTAACCCCTGTGACCTTGAAAATGGGTGAAGGTCCTCCATTTGAACCAACTTGGTAGCCCTTCATTCCACTTTGCTTCTGGCCAAACATCATCACCCTAGGTCCTTTGATTATTAAGAAGAAGTTTTTTAAAGTAAAAACTTGATGCCGAAAAAAGACGACGGACACAGCACCACGACTTAAGCTCACTTGGCCCTTTAGGCCAGGCCAGGTGAGCTTACAAGGTTCAACTGTACACACAATAAGGTTGACATGTGAACCGCAGGCACATAGAATCATCTCTGTGAACAATAATGAATCATTTTGTCAAAATGCTTGCTGTATCGATATGTCAAGCATCAGGACAAATAATTTGCATGCTTCAACAAATCCAACTGTTCAAATATAAACATTGGAAACATAATGACAAGACAAACTCCCATGTTCAAGTGTTTATATAAAAATTTAATTTAATATTTTACTATTATTTAAATAACATTTTAATGATGAAATGCTTATGTTCAACATATGACAGCCAAGGATCAACACTGGACTGTCAACATGACACGAACCTTGTCTTCTGTACACACGACACATCGTATACACAACAGCTAATTATACTGTAAACATACTCTTTCGCAGTGATATTCATTGTGACTTTGGAGTGCTAACTAAATTATATTCGGCACTAAATTGAAATTTTCACATAGTGAAAATATAAGGATAAGACTGTGACCAGTATGTTTACAGTAAAACAGACAAGTTATATTTAGTTAACCAATCATTGATATAGTTGTTATAGGTACATGTGAATTGCACTTCAGTTGACCTCATGATGTCAAGAGTTGTACGGACCTGGAACACACTTTGAAATAAACAAAGTATCTCGACATCAAAGTTAAAATTCATAGCAAAAACCTTGTCAACCTAAAATACTTGGGAGACGAAGGGGAAGGAGGGTGTAAAATATATAACATGACAGAAAGTTTGTTGTCCTTGTCGACCATAACCTGACCTGTACAGTCCAATCTCAATCTGACAGTTTTGTGGATACAGAAATTGATCTTTGACATCAAATCAAGGTCTAGCACCCCCGTTGTTGGACACAGAGATCTAGAACTGACCTGTTCCGTCAAATAGAGTCGGTCACCCAATTTTGAAGGAAACAGATCGAATCTGTATAGTCAATCCAAGTCTGTCACCCTTGTTGAAGAAAACAACGAACTGACCTGTACAATCAGTCTCAAGTCTGTCACTTTTACTTCAAGCTACAAGCGTATCATTGACAAGTACAGCTATCAGAAGTTGGTTGGTAATACCTACGTTTGCTACATGAAGACTAAAAATGAAAATTCATAAGTATAAAGTGGACGGATATTTTAGTACTGTTCTGCTCTATCGACAGACCAAAGTTGATAATTATACAATCTGAGAGCTGTCTCCTGTAGTTGAACATGGTTGACTCCTCCCCTACCTTGAGGGTGTGACAGTGAAATCTCCTACCGAAGGGTGCACTTCAGACATCTTGTAAAAGATGTTTTTCCTTCATTTAACAACAGAATGCATGACATTAACTTAAACAGGCCTCATCATGTCCAACACAAGACCACTCGCACCAGTAAAACCACACATTCTATATTTACCTCTAGAATGCCCCTGTCTTGATGAAGCTACTAATTTTTTTTTTATAAGTATTCAATTGGAAAATAAATGTCTGGTGCAAATTGAAATAAATGACATGTGGAAATATAACATACTATAAACAGGCAGGAGAAGTGTTTCCATAACAATCATCAACTGGTTTTAACATGGATTGTGCTTGCTACTACTCTATAAAATGTGCATTCATAGACTACCAACAAAATAACTCAATCATACCTAGTGGTTTTGCCTTAAATCATACACCTAAGTATACGTATTGGCTGTAACAGTCACAGTGCCACACAGCCGTAACATACAGCACAATCAAATCAGCCGTAGTAAAATTGTCAACTAAAGAATATATTACCGGATAGGTTATTGTTAAATTATTTATATAGTCTTGCAAAAGTTTGCGAGTCAAAAAGTGAATTCCATTTATTTAAAGCGACATTTCAAGTCATCAGTTATTTTTAACAGTTTCCTGATACAATGAGAATGGTTTTGATGAGTAACTGAATGCCACAGGCCATGGATAATAAGCACTTTTGTATCAATGAAGTTAGGAAATACCGCTTGATGTTGGTATAACATCTGCTCCAATCAAAGGAAGCTTCAACCTAGCCTGCAGTTGACCATTGGAGGCCTGGTGAACACATATACTGAGCAGGCCTTATAGTAGTCTCTCATGACTACAGGTCAGTTTCTCTATTTCCATATGAAAACGATTTGTATTCTCGCTTTTACAGATTATTTTCGTATGAATTTACACAATTTTTGTTAGCAGTGAAAACCTATTCATTTCAGCGAAATTTGAAATATGTTGAAATGTCGCTTTAAGAGTATCCCCTGGTTAACAGAAACCACTTTTTGCTGGGCCACTTAATCGCCTGGTTCTTTAATTTTGCAGATAGCCACTATTGGTTTTACAGGAGTTCGGTTTTTTTACAAACATTTGTATTGTTTATTAAACTAAATGTTAATAACAAGAGCAGATTAATGGAGTTACACTTTTACAACGAACTCAACAACAGTTAAAACAAAATATAGTAAATGGATTTTCTCAACATAACAATAAATGAACTGTAAGATAATAGTATAAAATATTGTATAAAATGAATCAACATTTCTAAATATAATCCAGGACGAAATGGACCTGGTTTACACAGGACTAGCTGTATAGTAGTTAGTTATCCTCATAGAGGTCCTGAGGGGAGTGGAGACAGGTGCCTCCCGGGGTGGGGATTAGCCCTGCCCTGGACTGTCCAGTAGGTGATGTGGAAGACAAGCCATCTGTGCCCACTCTGGCACTCTAATACTAACATAGGCTTTTTCAAGTCCTGTGCCTTACTTCCTCCATATACTGACAGGTCTATCCCTATCAGCACACTGGTCAGTACGACCCTGTGACCGTGGTCAGTCCTCCCGAGCACTGGTCACTACCGTCCAATATCACAAGTATAATGCCCTTGGGCAACATATCACAGATAACATGCTTTGTGATGATCAATAGGTTACTTTGGCTCCTCATGTGTAATGGTATTAGGCTAATATGATCTCAAGAATCTCGGTCTTGTTTCACCTTCTTTTTCACCTTTTTACTCCTTTCATATCTAACTGTCTCTGCCTCAAGGGCACTTAACTCCATCAGTCTCTGCTGGAAGGATGCAGGAGCACCAACAAGGGGGTCGGTATACTTTGGGTCCACTGTAAAAAGGAAAAGCAGTGCATGAGATACTTGTGGAACAAATTGAACCAATGATAAATTTCAGCATTTCATCAATGACAGTAATTTTTGAGAATATTTAAATCCATTACGAAAACTTAAGACTTTACTAATTAATGAAGTGTCAATTATAATAAAGAAAGGAACACAATGAATTTGATGTACAACACCCTTAGGTATAATTTGGAATGAATATAATGATCAGTATACATGTGGAAATTGTGTTGATATTTAGACCATGTTCCAAATGATTACACACATGGCATAAAATGTTAATGATGTTTTGTTAGCAAAATAGAAACAAAGCACTGCACACTTACGCTTACCGTCCTTGACATTGTTCTTCATGCCCGAGGCTGGGGCATTCTGCACCATAATGGGTTTGACGTTGGAGCCATACTTTCTTGTCTGGGACAAGGTAGTTGAACTGTTGGAACCTGTGCCCACCGTGATGGTCTTGCCAGGACCATTGGTGGTCTGAGAGGGTCCTGAGAGGTTCTTCTGAGGTGGCTGTGACTGTGGTTGGGCACCAGGACTCCAGATGGTGCCCATGGCTATGAGGTCGTCAGCATCCTTCCCTGCAATTTAAGTATACAATGTAGCAATTACATCAAATCAATTTTGGTTTAGATCTACAAAAATTCAAGAATTTTGTTAGATATGCTTAATCTTTAACAAACATTTCTGTTGATAGTCACCTACAAGGTATCCCTGCCATGTTGCTGAAACTGTATTATGTTGGTCCTGCTCAGCACACAACTATCAAATATTGATTATATACTAGAGATTTTGTAGTTAATTCTCCAAGTGGACAATTTACCGAGACAATGTATCAACTGATGATGGGAAGATCTACCTGGGGAGGCGACAGGTATAAACCTACAGTGAAGCCAGTTGATAAATAATTCACAGGTGGTAATGTTGGAGCCAAACCTGATCCAGTCATGAGAGGTAAGCTATCAATAGGCACTACAATCCAGCTAGACATCAATATTAAACCAACACTCGAACCCAATACCATTACCAGTAAACCAGAAGCCATTAAAGTCAATGTTATGTTACGGGTGTGTTGAAAAGTGCACTTTTATAACCACGCTACTAGCTAGTGGATTATAGCCCTATATCAGCTGAACTTTAGGTCAATGTATTATATATCTAAACACAAATCAATGCCTGAAAATAATCTGTAACACAGTTATAAACTTTTGTTCTACCCTTAATAACCATATATTAATGCTAACAAGGTAGGCTTATAGTCACATTTTTAACCTGGTAACAACCATACACTTTTAACCTGGTAACAATTAACCATACACTTTTAACCTGGTAGCGACCATACACTTTTGACCTGGTAACAACCATACACTTTTAACTTGGTAGCAACCATACACTTTTAACCTGGTAACAACCATACACTTTTAACCTGGTAGCAACCATACACTTTTAACCTGGTAACAACCATATACTTTTACAACCATACAACTTTAACCTGGTAACAACCATACACTTTTACAACCATACACTTTAAACCTGGTAGCAACCATACACTTTTAACCTGGAAACAACCATACACTTTTAACCTGGGAACAACCATACACCTTTAACCTGGAAACAACCATACACCTTTAACCTGGAAACAACCATACACTTTTACAACCATACACTTTTAACCTGATAGCAACCATACACTTTTAACCTGGGAACAACCATACACTTTTAACCTGGTAGCAACCATACACTTTTGACCTGGGAACAACCATACACTTTTAACCTGGTAGCAACCATACACCTTTAACCTGGAAACAACCATACACTTTTACCTGGTAATAATCCAATTAATCGTAATCATACAACGTTAACCTGGTAATAATCACACACCTCTAACTTGGTAGTTACATATTTACATATCTCTGACCAACATATTGGATAAAAACTATAGGTCATTATATAACGATTTTATCAGGTACATGTTTTAGGATAACTATCAACCTTTGCTAAAATTGAGATATTTGTGAATCTATAACAGCTGAGCATATACCATAAATTGTCACTACGGTAATGAACCCAAATTTAATCTATCACTTATTGAATTCCTCAGTCTTTGTGTAAATAAACCAAAAAGCAGTTCATCTTAACAGTCCTTTCCTTTTAAAACAGAATATTACTTCTACCAAATGGAATATGACTTTTACTTCTGCGAGCCCTCAAACTCTAGGGGTTCTAGATATGCACCCCACCCCACTGCCAGCCTGTCTCTTTCATATTAAAACTTTATATTTTTCACAATATCTGTTACAATCTGATTTAAAATCTTGTTCCCAAAATTACCACCAGAACTCCACCCAAATGTTATGACAGAAATAAAACCTGATACAAAGAAACAGGATCTGTAATGTCTACAACTTTTAAATACTCAAGTGTTAAAAAGGCAGGGCTAATTTATTCATACTCATGCTGTTACCACAGCACTCCTATATAGTACAAATTAAACAGAAATAATCTGTATACCCCATGTTAATGCTATTCCATTTACAACAAAAATACAAAGATTGAATCTCGCTTTGAAAAACTGTCCAATGCTTAAAATCCACATAAATATGTCTATATCAATCCTGCTAGCAATGGAACAAATTCTACAACCATTCCGTGATCTGTTTAAATACAAAATGGAGGTTAGGCAAATGTACCAACCTACTTTCCTACGTGATTCACATATACACTTACTCCCACCATGTCATGAACAAAGATCAACCTACTTTAAAATACTTACTGCCCATAACCATGTGGCGGACAAACTTTCCTTCAATCTTCGGCAGCCGAAGCCGCTTAGAATTCAAAAAAGCAAGTTTAACTTGTATGGCCATTTTAGCAATATGGCGTCTGTAAACATATGGAACCATAGGGCCGTCTACAGTGGGGGGTGGACATTGTACCCAGTACAAGACACTACCAGATGGCGCACAGAACCTTTATGTCACAAACTAGAGTTCAGAAGAGGCTTGCTACCCATTTGTTTGATTTGGTTTCAATTACACTGGTGTATTGTGCTTTGTAGCTGTGACTCTATCTTGGTTCCGGTCGTTTAAATGTATAATGTGTTCAAGCATGTGCCAGTCATAATATGATCTACTAAACGATCATTGTTCTTCATATGACAAGCAGATTATTATCTTCTCAATTAGTCTCTAGAAAAACAGTTTATCCAGTCGAGGGAATCCGGTTAATTATTTTGATACTTAATAAAGACAAATCTGTTATGCTGAAAACTGAAATCGGAACATCCTAATGGTAGGACTATATATTGTGACATATGAGCTGCATTTCATGTACATACTAGTAAGTCTATCATGATTCATGACTGTCACAGAAAGCCTCTATACAAGGTTGGCAGTCCTCCACTGATTTCTCCTAGTATCTCCCTAATGTAGGTGTGTGCTTTATAACTTATTTCAAAAGTTGCTTGAAGAAATTAAACTTATCAGCAAATCAAACTCTCGTAAAACTAAAGTAAAAATAGTTACACTGTTGACAAATGATTTTCCACTATATCTGTAAATTTCACGTTTTCACTTTAATTCACAGTTGGAGAGATGATTCTAAACTGAATACCTCAGGTTTATCCTTATAGATACAGATTAAAACTAGGGTACGTTTCAGTACTAGTTATTGTTTCTGCCACCAGTTTAAATCTTAACTAAGTCTTGAATATTTTGGAGCCTAAACACAAAAGTCTTCAGCAAAATGAAGGTTTTAGTACAATGTCAATATGATCCTCAAATTCTGTAGAGCACTGCCTACCTGAGGTATGACTTCTGGAGCTGAACAGAGGCTCTCCCTTGAGTAGTGAGGAACGCAGACCATTGGGACGGTAATGGTTGGTCTGCTTGGTAGAAGGCAGTATTGGGCGTAGGTTGTCCTCGCTCTCCTTTCCAAACGACACTGTAACAACATGGCAGACATGTAACATTGTTAGTCTTTACCCTCTCTGTGTTGCATCAAATACAGTACTGATCTATAAACAACACATACCATGGCCAGCCTTCTGATCTCTGGTAACAACTGGACAAGTTACATCACTGTAATCTTTTGGATTAATAAACATCTTTGACTGTCACACCCCTTGTAAGCTCACAATAATACCTGTACCTAACTCTGTAGACAGAGATTCTAACCTTTCTCTTTGGGCACCCTAGCCTACAACTATGTTTAGTTATGGACACCTTATCAACCGTATCCTCCGTAGATATAGCCCTTATATAAGCTCAATGACTGTGAGGGACCATTGCCTTTCTCCATAGACAACCTGCCATTTTTCTATATTTCTCTATGGACACCCTTTCAACTACTTTCTCATTGACAGATATTCTGATGTTTTTTATATGTTATCTTCCCTAAAGACATCTTATTACTTCTTTTATCTATGGAACCGATCTGTACCTTATCTATAGACAGTGAACTTTACCTTATCTATGGACACTGATCTGTACCTTATCTATGGACATTGATCTTTACCTTTTCTATGGACATTGATCATTACCTTATCTATAGACAGTGATTTGTACCTTTTCTATGGACATTGATCTTTACCTTATCTATAGACAGTGATCTGTACCTTATCTATGGATAGTGAACTTTACCTTATCTATGGACAGTGAACTTTACCTTATCTATGGACACTGATCTTTACCTTATCTATATGGAAGTGATATTTTCCTTTAACTATGGCATGGCTTGGTTTATTGGCTGGCATGCCTTGCTTCTATGGACAGAGATTTTTACTTTTTGTTTATATAAAGATCCTTACCTTTCACTATGGACTATGATGCTTACCTTTTGTGCTTGGACAGGGATCCTTAACTTTTGAGCATGGACGAGGATCCTTATATTTAATTACATTGCACTATGGACTGTGATGCTTACCTTTCTCTATGGACAGGGACTTGCGGGAGCCTCCCTTGCTCCCTGGTCTCCTGCCACTCTGATCACTAAGGTCACGGGAACCTAGCCGTTCTCGGTCCTTTGGATTATAGTCTATAAAACTGTTTTGTCGAATATCATCTACTTGTGGAGACTGCCGAACTTCGTTTCCATATAGAATGTCGGCTGTTGAGTATGGAACAGTGGGTGTGCTTGAGGAACTGAAAAGACATAAAAATTCAAAACTAAGGAACTTTTCCAGTACTTTCTACATGATGTGTCACAGAAGTGTGTAGATCTACACTACAGTGTGTGTACCAGGGTCTTTAATCCTGGCTTAAGTCACCGACCAAAAGTCACATAAATAACAGATTAATGCTAAGTCAAACCAACTTTCTCACCCTTCAAAAACACCGTTTGAAGCAAACACAAACCAACACAATAATATCTAGTATATTTGGAGACAGTTACTGTAAGAACACCCATTTCTGAGATGGCAATGACAAATTACTTTAAGGAGTTTTGGCATATTATTAGATATGGGACTGGTATGTTGAATACATGAATATGTTGAATGTTTGTTTGGCCGCTGGAGTAATGTTTGTGCTAATAGCTACATACGTATATGAAAGTTGTACACATATATACAACTCTGGTTCTACCTGGTTAAGAGACTGAGTCAGCAAACAAAGAATTTAACATGATTCCCCAAGGTACTGCCTACATTTATGCTGCAGTTATCAGAAATTTGAAAAAAAAGGTTTGGCTGCTGTTAATCAAAATAGACTTAACAAAGAAACACAACTACGTATGAATTTTCCAAGGATAGACTACTTTGTGAAGTGTCCCCGTGTTGGCATCCTATTATGGAAGTAATCATGCAAGATGTATAGTATGGATAGGAGATCAGGAACAAGCACACCACTAGATCTGTATCTCACACACAGGCGTTTTCTTTGATGTATATACCAATACAGGATCATACAAACATCTCCAGGTGAAAACGACAAAACGTTACCAGAGGTAGCTACCAAGAATTGTTCACTTTCAAGTCAGCATTGCAATCAATAGCAGCTCTGTACAGAGTGTTTTAAACCAGCTATAAAAGACACCTTAGTTCTTTACATTCTGAGATATAGGGAAAGTAAACTTATTAACACTAACAATGACTAATCCTGTTATACAACTAACCCTTTATAACCCAGTAAACAGCTAACACTGACTTACCCTGTGTATTACCTAACCTGCATACTGCAATATGATAGGGACAAGTCTTTGATAAAATATTTCATATACTAGTGTTCAATACTAAATATTTTTATACACACTTAATAGGCTGCATTAGCTTAGTGTTATGTTAAAGATTGTTGAGATTACATAAAAATTTGCATGAAATGTGCTCTCTTTTTTTTATATCTTTTAAAACCCTTTAGCTGTAGATTTATTATAACCTCTGAAATTTTGATGAAGTGTATGGAAAACTGGCAAAACATTTTAATGCATACATGTATGCTGTTTGTACACGCAGTTACCTATACTTCTGTTGATTTGCCGGTGAGTTTGGTAATGTGAGTTTGACTGTGAATGTGGAGGAGGAGGACAATAACCCTTTCATCACCACAGTAAAGCCAGCTGGATATTTATTTCTTACATACATGTATAAATGCAATACCTTAGTCACTGGCAACAGTGCATTGGTCTTATAGATTCCCTATTCCAAATCATATTACACATACCAGGTAGCAATGCATACCTGGTTATAACGAGTATGGTTGTGTTTAAAGGCCCGTACCGGTGGCAGTTACCTGGGAACATTACAGCACCAGCCCTAAAACAACTTACCTCATAAGACCAGCTTCACACCATTCCTCATAACAAATCTCCTACTTTTCCTCGACAGTCACATGATATTGTTAAATGTATTTCTGCCCTGTGACTATAGCTGGACTCGGCTGGATATAACATGTACATGACAATTAACACTGTTTGCATACCCAACCCGTGTAAAATGTTCCAACTAAGGCGCTTCCAATGTGACCCAGGGTCAAACAAAGCCAACATAATCCACCATACAAAGATCTGGTCACAAAACACTTATTAAGAACACCATGGTGTAGATGGGCAAACAAAGGCTGATCTACACATTGATAATATAATCATACTAGTTCATCTGTTTCATACACCCCACAAGTATTATTTAAACATAATAACATTATACATATTCAAATATGGCTACCTTACATTCAGGCAGCAGACATTATAGATAATACAAAGCATAACCTTGTTCTGCATTAATGTATGTTCTTGAAGTTAAATTTAGTTTAAAAGCATTTTGAATCAAACACTATAGAATTCAAATAACAATTTGTGAGAGGTAACAATTGCACAACTCAGAGAATCAATAAACTAAAGCTTGGCAGGTATTTCCCAACTTCAATAGTCAATATGACTACGACAAAATACCTGAGTTTGGCAGGTGTTGTCAGACTTAAATATCGTTAATTATATACCAGTGGTAGTCAATAGTTCTCAACCTCCAATACAACAAAATACCAGTAGTTGACAGCAATACACCAGTAGTTGTCAGCTATGATTGTAAACCTTCAGTACTTTCCGGTATTGTTAACCATTTTTATACAGCTTGCTTTAGACAACAATAACATCAAACTGTGAAACACAAGTCTCCAGGGACTAGAACTTTGTTTCAAACCTAAACAAACATTTATAAAGGAGAAACATTCTATATGTTCAAAAACAACTTTAAACAGAGAACATCATGTTTCAATGAATTGGTCATAATTGAGGAGGAAAAAACCCTGAATAAATAGTCCTTTGAAAATTGTAGATACTGACACAAATCAATGTATGCTGTATTTACTGTAGATGTTTACTTCCCAGAGATACAAAGCATATTTGAATTCAAAGGATAACACTGCAACGTTTGTGTTATCACAAAAGAGTCTGGGTCCTTCTATCTAAAAGGTTGACAAGTCTGACTAATATGTCTGCTCTGTATGTTATTTGGGCTTCAATCGAGTCATACAAAATTACACCAGCTTGCTGGAGAGAAATCCTGTGAAAGACTAGTGTCCTTATAGGGGGTTGATACATTCTCAGTTGTAAAAGCCACAGAAACTTGAATAAACTGTGGTTACTTTTGCTCTGAAAAGTGTAATTCAAGGTACATGTAGGTCTAACAAAAAGTACATCAACACCTACATCATTATCAGCTTATTCCAAAAGTTAAGGCCGCAAAATCATGCTATAGATATATCTGCCATTATGCAAGTGTTTTTTTTTCTTTGATTGAAAGGAATCTTTGCTATGGTAATAGGATAAGGTGGTAGAAATGAAGCTTAGCACAAGTCCTGACAACACTTCTGTGCTAAACTCTTAATTCACAGGTAACAAGCCTGAAAGTTGGCATATTTCAACCAATAGCTGTCATTATCACTACACAGCCTTAAGTAGCCATATGAAATAATTCTTGAATGTTACAATAATTTTAAAACCTATCAGTGAAATTGTCCTTTTTCCATAGGAGAAAGCTTTATGGAAATTTTTGTGTTAAATGTTTTGTAACATTTTGAAACTACATTGTATAATCAAATATTTCTAAATGAAAACTTCATAAAAAAAAATTGTAAACAATTCAGGGAACAATTGCAGATGAAATCTTCAATTTTGGGCAAAAACTTGTTGAAAAAATTGGGGTAGTAACTTCTTTGAAGAATTTTGGAGGCATTATAAACAATTTTGGGTTAAAGTTTTATGAAACAATTTGATATGCCCTCATTGAAATGGTGACTTCTAATCACTATCATAAATGTTCAATTTGAGTTTCAACCTGATGGGCTGATATCCTGAGTAGGGCCTGAAGAACACCATTATAGATTAAATCATTCAGGTATAATTTAAAACTTGGCTGTATTCCCAAATTTGTGTACTAAATCTGAAAACATAGGCAAGTGGTACCTAATCCCACAAGGGGATTTGGATTTTCATTAAAATCACTGAACACATATCCCCACTCATCTCTGTCTCCCAGCATTTCACTGGTCCATACAGTATGTACTGGTAGAGATAAAGGGTTCCCAGGAATGTCCTGAATGTGGCAAGTCCTGGTAAATGGTCTATACAGGAAATTTATCTTCGATCCCGCTATAACGGATAGACTGATTTAATTAATCACAGACTAGAATTATTCTTGTTTACTGTAGCTTAAAGGCTATTTCCATATTTTCCCTTATTCATATGTACATTCAATAATGATTTTACCAGAATGACATTGTATGCTGACCTGGTCAACAGTACAGCATTGACCATGGTTAGGGCGAGAACACTATCATGTCATCCTATATACACTTTATGTTGGGTCTACATACGCTTACCTATTATAGTCTATACTTATAAAACTCACAAACTCGAGGGAAATCCATTAAGTAGTACTTCAAATATTGACTCCTGATAAAGATTGAGCTAGCTCTCACAACGCCTCCAGGGCAAAGTATTGAAAAGAAGATATCATTAAACTAGACCTTGTTCTCAAAGTACTAAAGTTAATTTTAGAGTGTAACACAACCCCCGATATGTTTTTCCTTAACAAATCACATACTTGTGAAAGTAAACAAACAACAGACTAACAATCTCAAAAAGTCCTCTTTTTCCTGATGATCTGAGTAGCAGTTCTGCGGGTATACTTACGGAATCATGGGCAGAGATCGCACTCGAACAGGGAACATCCAGGGACATTCTGGATAGATAAATGCAGTCTTTTTTGGTGTACGTTGCGGACCATTCGGAGGAATCTGCATTGATTCCGTGTAAAGCATCTGCTAGAGCAGATAAACGGCATGTGAGGCCTGTGAACTAGAATACTGTCACTGTGGCAGTTCATCACTCGACCCCCTCTCAGCTCTCACTGACTAACAACCTCTGGCGTATGGGACATTTAAAATGAACCTGTTATGAGGACAGTAGCACTTCAAGTGTCGAAGTCACACTTAACACAAACACCTTCCCTCATAGCCGTATACTACCTCGCACCAAAGAGCCGTTTGACAAAGGTGCCAAGAGGCAGGCTATCAACTACATGGGTAAAGTATGATATTCCTGCAATCAACTCCACACCCAGTTATCTGTATTTAAGTGTCAGTACAGGTAAACGCCAATGAATTTGCCATCTGAGACACTCTCCCTGCTGGCTTTCCTGGGGTGTAGACAGGCCTTTAACGACCAACCCGCCACTTCATGATCAATACTTGTACCTTATTGTGACAGCATCTATACCCAATACACTACCTATACACTGCTGTTTACACTTTAAACACGTTGAGCACTGCTAGTAGTCACCATCTGTTAATTACCATGCTACGTTATTGTTCTCTGAACACAAGAAAACTTTCAGTAGTTATTGTTGTATAAGTCTACATGTAACCAGCAATGGGTGAGGATCACAGCATGACCTCTGACCTGCCAATCCCCGTGATCCGGCTGATCGCTGGATAGGACTTGAGGCATGAATGCATGCAGATCGATGTTCCGAACACAGATATAAGGCACCTATGGTGGCAAACACTATTTTTGGTATCAATAATCTGAATGCTGATATTCAATAAATATTAACAATGCTTGCCTTACCTGAGCACGAATCTATATTGGATTTAAAGGACGCTATTAATACATTAGTTGAATTAAATGGTGAGGACAAAGAGAATGTGGTTTGATGTCGGGCAGGAATTTCTGGGCCAGGAATTAACAGACTTGGCTGAACATCAGCCCGAGAGTCGGGATCAACATAAAGCGGCGATGTTAAGTCAGTGGTCACAAACTCCATTGCTGCTCTTAATCTGTTTGATCCAGTTTAATCGTTAAATGTATTTACGTTATAGGTATTTACTGCTTTCCACATGGCTTGCTACATTAACTTATACCACAGGCTGATTTGTGACTTTATTTTGTATAATACACAAAAATGGTTGAAAATCTTCAAAACCATTTTACCTAAGCAAAACAGCTGACTATAAACACAATTTATAAACCTTATTTTGTATCACTTAAGCACCTGTGTCAAAAATCTGCAACACGCTTAATTCAAGACTTTAAAAGTTTATGGTAACATGCATCTATTTTGTGTATAACAATGATTGGTCCATTCATTGTCACAAGACAGACGTATATGGTAAAACTTTCCCAATGCCCATGGAAAATATTTTATTGGACTTTTTGGAAAAAACATATATTTTTTTTTTTAAATGAATTTTAAATATGTCAAGAAGAACTCTGTTATTATCTTAAAAAATATCTTTTCAGGAAAAAAACCTAAACAAATACAAACAATAGATGTTTAGGATACAACCTCTCTATATACACTGATAAGAACACCCTACCTCTGACAACAAATCATCAGCTACACATCCAATCAAACACTGACACCAACATGGAACATGACCCTGGTAGGAGTACTGAAATATTAACGTACATGCTATAGAGAAGTCTATGTGGTATGACGGTATGGTCTGGTTACCAGATTTTATTGTGATATCTGAACCCTACCTAATTAATATTTAATTATGGGTGTTCACAATATACCACTGCTTCTCACGATTACCTCATTATCAAACAATGGCAGTATACAAATATCTGTCTCTTTACTAACATACATGTACCTAAGACATTAACTGGACTATAGGTTCCTCAGAGTTATCTCCCTTTGTCTACATGTGGCCAGGTTACTAGGTGACCAGGGACAACAAACCACCTCTTACCAGTTACACACCAGACACATGTACACATACAGCCTGCCCTACTGACTGCCTCGTTTGTCAACACTGACATGAGCTGGCATTGATCACAAATTTTAGGAGTTGACATTTCATATTGAATGTTTTGATAAAACAATAACAGTATGTATATTCTAGGTCATACTTAATACAAATTAGTTACAGGTTATTATTAGTCACCTCTGTGTCATAATAGCATGCTGATTAATATCCACACCTACAACACCTTTGACCCCAGAAAAAATAATTTCTATTAAAATAAGATTTGCGTCAGGTCCATTCACATGCCTTAACACATGTATAAATAGTAGGGTTGAATAAGACAGCAATTGATGTTATGAATATGAACAGTAATTCTGAATATCATGGTTATCTATTATGGCAGGAAATACCTGAAAGATATATGCCTTTTACATCTAAAAAATGTGTGTTACCTCGGGCTGGCCTCGCGGGTGGCGATTGTCCCTGAGAAGGGTCGGAGGGGAGGGTGTTCCTCCACAGCAATGTTTGAGCCCTTTTTGCCAGATTTAGGCCTTGGCTGGTTGTATACATCCTCTGACAGGAGAGTGATGGGACACTTTGGTCCGTAGATGTTCCGAAGTTTAGAATTGTTGCGTAAGTTCACCATGGATGTTCTTCTGGTGTCTGAGGCAGCAACAGTCATTGTACAGTGATCTCGGACACTGTTGCTCGGGGGGCTGTATCTATGTGTATACAGCCAGCTCAGAGTGAACTGAAACAATGCTTCCCATCAGACATCAGGTGTCTAGTTACCTAGTAAACTACATAGACCTACATTAGGTTCATATCCTACACTCAAAATCTGTTACCACACCATCACAGCACAGTGCATCATCCTGTATACAAGTAACAGTCAACAAATATTTCATACAAACACTTATTCCGAGTTTCACTGTGTTGTATTATTTATAACACAAACAGTAGCTGTAATTGGAAATCCAGCCCATGAAAATATCCTCTGTATTTCCTTATACAAGTGTGTCAACTGTGGTCTTTATGCAGGATCAGCAAGTAATGGTTTCTCACAGCCCTAAGGACAGCTTATTGGACCTACTCGAAGAAACTCACCCTGTCTTATACATACTAATAAGGCCAGGCTTTAAATACAGATTCAATTATCTGGCTATATATGATAATTGGTTTCAGTGTTGTTCATGATTGCCTCGACGCACCACATATGATATTGTATTTTTGTTTTGTATTCCAGGTGTATTTATAGCTTCCTCAATATAGCGGAGTTGTGGAGACAGAGCTGACAATCAGAAATTTTATCTATGACCAGGGTGTCATCACTTTTAGCGATGAACACTATCCACAGACAGCCAATACGTTTTCACAGTGTCAAACCAGGAAATATTCACCTGTCGTGTCCAGAAGGATACAGCAATGTATAATTGTCAACTGTATATGTCCAACACTTTTTACAGTAGGGCTACAGGAACACCCTACATTTCATTTTTTTTCATAAACTAGAGTGTTAATAATGGCCAAGACTATAAACATCACTCACACAGCAGCACCTTGGATGTACACTTCCCTCTATAGTTCAAGGATAGATACACTGAAGATTCAATCCTATTGATTGGCCAATCGATGATAGCAGCAAGTGTGAGTAGAGACAGAACATCAAGCAGTAATGGGCTGAGCATGGACCAATACAGACAAGCAGGGGCCCTCACAACTCAGTTCTTGTATTATAGGGGCCTTACTCACTCACAATGGTCTCCAGCGTAAAACCCCTATCAGATCAACAAAATAGGCCAAAACAACTGCTGACCGAATTCCAGTTTGGCTCCAATAGAATATAAACAAATAAAAAAGCCTGCTGAATGGCTAGCTGTCTGAGACAATGTACCCTGTACAGGTATCTGTGTCGGATCTCCACACCACAGTCCTACACATTGGGTCCTTCCAGAAGGGTTTTAGGTTTTTAAAGTCACATCTCCACTTCACTAGTATGTAAACAAAGCCAAGCCAGTCACGTCACGTGGACAGCTTGTTCTAATGCAATACTGTTAATATATGAGCAAACACTGGCTACCTTGAATGCACACCAATTATATGTTACTGCTTGTCTCCAGTGGGGGTAACAGCCAAGTGTAGCCGCCGGGCAGGTTAACACCAACACAGAAAGTTAGGTGGTGTTGATCACATAGCCGTTGGCCCACTGACAGGTATATTTATATGGAAGGACCATTGTCAAGGTTTATCGATCAGGTGGCCCTGGGTAGCTATCAAAATATGTTCCTGACTGATTTCTCGACTTTTGTATATTGGCCTGATAAGTAAATCAATACTGACCCCCTAATTATCTGGAGGATAATCTGACGGTTATTTACAATCCCTGTCAGTGGATACTAAGATAGGCCAATTATAAATCAGGACAACTGACAAGGAGAAAGTCACCCAACACTCCAGACCCTCTCAATACCATAAATACACATGTAGAACAGAACAACGCCCCATTGATATCATATATACACGTATATATTAAACACCACTTGTCACGGTTCACAGCAGGAAATCAATTACCAAACTAGTTGGGACCGACCAAATGTCTGATTTTGACAGAATCTTCAAATTTCAATTAATTGGAAGCTGCATATGGGAATATACTATATAGACAATGTCTGAATTGCAGTTCGCTCTATTCATTGCTTATTAAATATGAAGGGGAATAACTCCAGGTATTGGTGAAGTGTCAGGTTGTAGAGGGTATATGTCTAAAACAAATTATTTGATAAATAGGAATAAAGTAGTACCTATAAAGGGGAATAACTCTGGGTTCTTTAAGTGGGTAACTGCCTTCTTTAAACTATTTAAGACCAGAAATATTTGTATGTACCCATTATTCACTGTTAACAGCTCAGTGAAGATATACATTATAACATATAGTAATGTTACACATCACTATTTCATTACCCATAAAAGAACCAAGGACCACATTTATAGACATTTAACCAATAATTAAACAGTTAATTAGAACAAAATCACAGAACGTAACCAATATTCATCTGTCATCTGTCATCCCATTACTATACAGTATAATATAGACTCTCCAACACATCAGTATAAAGTAAAGGATGGGGTACTCATTAATGTTAAAGCTTGATTGTGTAGATATGGAGTCAGTATAGACAGCCATTGGGTAGGGTCACCATGTTAGTGATATGGTGTAGGTATATGTTGTGGGTACAAGAGTGACGAAGACATATCTATTGTGTAATATTTTCCCAGACATGATGTTCAGTATGCATTTTTTTCTTAACCTAACATATTCTGGGGGTTTTAACCTCTGCATGTTTCCTCCACCTTACAAATTTTGTTTAATTTTATTTGCACAATTACATTGTAACTTTAATGTTTGACATATACATCTTAATTTCTGTAAAATTTATGTGACAAATGTACAAAAAATGTACAAAAATGGATTTATCTATGATATAACAGGTTGAAGCATATAAAGTTGATTTTTAAGTATATTTCTATACTCTAGCTACATATGTCAGCTGATCTTTCTCTCTATATTTTCTTAATTTAGAAATGGTGTTTTCAGTGATTTTTAAGCGACCCAAATCGACACATGTAAAATAGCACTTACACCTATTGACACGGTCACGTATACAGGTAAACGTAGCCACTTTGTATCTGTACCTTGACCATAGTTTTTCACACCCGGGGCACTTACGTAACTCCCCAAGGATTGAAAATCCAGGTGAAGGGGTGCTATAGACCAAAACGAATGCAAATAACAAATACTTAACGTCCAGTTGTGCTTTCATAACAACTCTCTTTGTAAGGTACGGGTCAGGTAAAAATTTGGTCAATCATAAAAATGGTATTTACCTGTTCTGTTGCCTGGAAGCTAACTCTCTTTGTCAGGCACGGGTCAGGTAAAACTTTGGTCAATCATAACAACTCTCTCTGTAAGGTACGGGTCAGGTAAAACTTTGGTCAATCATAAAAATGGTATTTACCTGTTCTGTTACCTGGAAGCTAACTCTCTTTGTAAGGCACGGGTCAGGTAAAACTTTGGTCAATCATAAAAATGGTATTTACCTGTTCTGTTACCTGGAAGCTAAACCCATTCACTGTAATGCTGTGTAACAACGCATTGTAAAATTAAACATAATCCTAATTAATTTGATGAGCAATTTATATATATATATACAGTGCTCCTTATTCCATATGAAGGCTCCGGATGTTTTTCATTCCGTAATATTGATCAACCAATTATAGCAAATCAGACATTTGTGCGAAGAGAAGCGCACAACGGGCGAAAGATTAATTGTTAAATCGCACAGTTGGACACTTACAAAGCTATTTTTGGTGCATTGTGCGGTCCCACATCTGTACAATTTTACAATTTTCATCACTAAACCTACTTAATTTTCTCTATGGCCTTATGGATTATATTTTCACAAACTGGTTTTCTAGGAAATATACAAACATTAAGAGAATCACACAGTGTTTACTTTTAGTTTACACCATTTTGATTTCGCTATATATAAACACCGAAATTACACCTTTCTTACTAGGTAATGTATGAAGATTTCGGGAATTTATTACCTGTTCTTCCTCAAAATGAAATTTCCACAGACTTATCTTTGTAAATCTAAGAGGCCAGAACCTTCTATTCATAATTATCTTCTTTTAACAAAATTAGTGTTGGTTGCTTCCCAATGTAGATGATTGATTGACAGTATTAATTAGGGTTGACCTTGAAATTATAAATCTGTCTCTTATATCTGCCTGTAAGTATAACTTTGTTTACTTTAACCTTGAAGGTAAAATGGATAATTTTTCTTGCCTTAGCAGTTTTATCACCAATCCAATATTTTTTCGAACAAGCTGACATGAACACAATTTGATTTACATATATAAAGCAAGTGTAATCAACTTGAAACTGCACTTTAGCTGGATGTGTTCTCACGCCCAGATCAAAACTTGTATTCAATAAGTTTGTTATTAGTCCAGTCTCTATATCAGAAATCTGTATGCAGACAGATTTGTCAATAAGGTGTTGTCTCATCCTCTTCAATAGGCCTACACAACCCAGACTCAAGTGGGAACAAATATTGATTGTAGCCAGACTTATCAATCATACGATCGTTCATCACAAATCACCTTATATAGCATCCGAGTACACAGCCAGATTACAAAGTTATTTTATGTGACACAATGGGAACTTGGTTTGTAGTGCTCTGTATATATATACATGAAACAGAAAGTGAATGTCTTATACAACCTTGCCTTTATGAAAAATAGGACACTTACAACAGGTACATCCCTTATATCCTTGGTTAATATGTACAGACTTTTAGTGTCATAAATATTGATAAAAAAAAAGTTGTCATTGTAGTGAGGCAGGACAGATACAAATATATTTATAAATGGAAAACCTGAGATATTCAAGAGTTGACAGTATACCAATTTGATAAGAAATACATTTATTTAGATAATGTAAATCCCAGTTACAAGACATTTTCCACAAGTAAGCATTGTGAAAACTGCAATAAAGCAGCATAATATCAAATGAAATCAAAATTATAAATTGTATTGTTATATTAACCTGACACCCTGATAAGTATACTCACAAAACACTACAGATGCTCATGGGCACCCATACATATTTCTTACGCCCACTGCCATGGCGCTGGGGTCCCACAGAGGTGAACAAGGGCTGTACGTTCAGCATGCAGTACTTAGTGTTGGGTAGCCCACAGCCACACTGGTCTGGGTGTCGGCCAGCAGTACTGACCCGCGGGGTGTCCGAGGTACTCCTCAGTAGATCGTACCGCCCTAGCTGGCTGTGTAGTACCAAGTCTTCTTGGTAACACTTCCAGTGCATATCAGCTTTCTCCATAGCACCCCTATCAGTGACCCCAACCTTCAAACAAGATGGTGCAGAAATCGCAAGACACCTCAACACCCTCTTGCATCAATCACTCATGACCCGCCACCTCTACTCTCTCCATTCTGACTTCCTACAAGATATCAATGCTGGCAAGCACTCATTAATCTTTCACAAGCTTTGATATACAATGACAAATGTCATTCCATTTCCAAGCGTTTGGCGACAATCAAATTATAATCATATCAGTAAATTTACTTATTCCCAGCTGTCTATAGCAAACATTCCTTTGTAACAATTCTTGAGTGGTCACCACAGCGAGTAGCCATTAAATATCTATGACTGAAAGATATACACAATCACAAGTGTACATTGTGTTTGCTGTAAAATCATGTCACAGTTCCATTAAATTGGTTTGTCAAATATACATGAAAACCAATTGAACAATGTGTACTTGATAGTCAGTTCCAATGTCAAATGTTTAGTCTTGAAAGGTTTTATATTTGAGTTTTCCAAGTGGCGTAATTACTCCGAAACGAATTTCACTACAGTGGTTTGGCTGTTGATAGCTTCAAAACCAAGAATCATAACCAAACATTAAATTATTTTCTTATTTCACAACACAAACATGATTAACGTTGATGATTGGTGATATTTAAACTTTTAAAGACCTAATCAGCACATAGATTATGGTCACGATATGTCAGTGGTCAGATCCATTGGTCTGAGGATAGCAAAATAAACAGTTCCAACAAGGTTCCGAGGTCCTACACTGGAGACACACACCCTCAGAGCAAGAGAGAGCAAATAATTCATCCTCCCAAATACCTCCTGTTTTAAAGCTTTTTAAGTAGCAAACATTGCTTGTGAGCTGGAATCAATAGTATACTGTTTACATATATCTCTTTGTGGCCATTATATACGATGTGGCTCTCATGGCATCAATAGTTTCCCCTTGTCCACGGCTCAGACAGGCACTCTTCACCAGCTCCTGTCATCCACCGGACAAGCACTCCAGCACACTCCAACAACAGCACAAAATGTTTGCCAAGTTAACGAAGACTTGTTAATGGTAGACAACTTTTCTCCGTAGACAACTTTCTCTGTGTACACATTTCTATGTTAGATGACAATGCAAATCTCTCCAGTATTCCCACTTCACACAGACATACAAAAACAGACAAAGACTTTAAAAGATTAACTGATGTCCTTCCAGCATTCCGACAATACATATCTACACACTGCAGTTAAAATCATATTATCACTCCTTCATCTTTGTTCCGTCTTGCTATGCTGTTTCGGAACTTTCCCATGAAAACCTTCTT